CAGGGAGGGAGACGGGGAGCGACGGAAGGCGACGGGGAGCGACGGAGAGCGACGGGGAGCGACGGGGAGCGACGGGGAGCGAGAGACGGGCAGCGACGGGGAGTGACGGGGAGCGACGGAGAGCGACGGGGAGCGACGGGCAGGGAAGGAGAACGGGGAGCGAGGGGGAGCGACGTGCAGGGAGGGAGACGCGCAGGGAGGGAGACGGGGAGCGACAGGGAGCGACGGAGAGCGACGGGGAGCGACGGGGAGCGACGGAGAGCGACGGGGAGCGACGGGGAGCGACGGGGAGCGACGGGGAGCGACGGGAGCGAGAGACGGGCAGCGACGGGGAGCGACGGGCAGGGAGGGAGACGGGGAGCGACGGGGAGCGACGGAGAGCGACGGGGAGCAACGGAGAGCGACGGAGAGCGACGAAAACCAACGGACAATGAGGGAGACGGGGAGCGGCGGGGTGCGACGGGGAGCGACGGGGAGCGACGGGGAGCGACGGGCAAGGAGGGAGACGGGGAGCGACGGGGACCGACGGAGACGACGGAGAGCGACGGGGAGCGACGGGGAGCAACGGGGAGCGACGGGCAGGGAGGGAGACGGGGAGCGCCGAGACGGGGAGCGACGGGGACCGACGGAGAGTGACGGGGAGCGACGGGCAGGGAGCGAGACGGGGAGCGGCGGGGAGCGACGGGGAGCGACGGGGAGCGACGGGCAGGGAGGGAGCGACGGGGACCGACAGCGACGGGGACCCGAGCGACGGAGAGCGACGGGGAGCGACGGGGAGCGAGAGCGACGGGGAGCGACGGGGACCGACGGAGAGCGACGGGGAGCGACGGAGAGCGAGGGGGAGCGACGCGGAGCGACGGAAAGCGACGGAGAGCGACGGGGAGCGACGGAGAGCGACGGGGAGCGACGGGGAGCGACGGAGAGCGACGGGGAGCGACGGGCAGGGACCGACGGAGAGCGACGGGGAGCGACGGGGAGCGACGGGCAGGGAGGGAGACGGGGAGCGACGGGGACCGACGGAGAGCGACCGGGGAGCGACGGAGAGCGACGGGGAGCGACGGGGAGCGACGGAGAGACGGGGAGCGACAGGCAGGGAGGGAGACGGGGAGCGACGGGGAGCGACGGGGAGCGACGGGGAGCGACGGGGAGCGACGGGGAGCGACGGGGAGCCACGGGGAGCCACGGGGGGCGACAGGGAGCGACGGGCAGGGAGGGAGACGGGGAGCCACGGAAGGCGACGGGGAGCGACGGAGGGCGACGGAGAGCGACGGGGAGCGACGGGGAGCGACGGGGAGCGACGGGGAGCGAGCGACGGGCAGGGAGGGAGACGGGGAGCGACGGGGAGCGATGGGGAGCGACAGGGAGCGACGGGGAGCGACGGGGAGCGACGGGCAGGGAGGCGGGGAGCGACGGGGAGCGACGGGGAGCGACGGGGAGCGACGGGGAGCGACGGGGAGCGACGGGCAGGGAGGGAGACGGGGAGCGACGGGGAGCGACGGAAGGCGACGGGGAGCGAAGGGGGGCGACGGAGAGCGACGGAGAGCGACGGGGAGCGACGGGCAGCGACGGGCAGGGAGGGACGGGAAGGGACGGGGAGCGACGGGGAGCGACGGGGAGCGACGGGGAGCGAGGGGGAGCGACGTGCAGGGAGGGAACGAAGGGGAGCGACGGGGAGCGACGGGCAGGGAGGGAGACGGGGAGCGACGGGGAGCGACGGAGAGCGACGGGGAGCGACGGGGAGCGACCGGCAGGGAGGGAGACGGGGAGCAACGGGGAGCGACGGGGAGCGACGGGGAGCGACGGGGAGCGACGGGGAGCGACGGGCAGGGAGGGAGACGGGGAGCGACGGGGAGCGACGGGGAGCGACGGAAGGCGACGGGGAGCGACGGGGGGCGACGGGGAGCGACGGGGAGCGACGGGGAGCGACGGGGAGCGACGGGAAGCGACAGGGAGCGACGGGAGCGACGGGGAGCGACGGGGAGCGACGGGAAGCGACGGAGCGACGGGCAGGGAGGGAGACGGAGAGCGACTGGGGAGCGACGGGGAGCGACGGAAGGCGACGGGGAGCGACGGGGAGCGACAGGGAGCGACGGGGAGCGACGGGCAGGGAGGGAGACGAAGAGCAACGGGGAGCGACGGGGAGCGACAGGCACAACGGAGAGCGACGGGGAGCGACGGGGAGCGACGGGGAGCGACGGGCAGGGAGGGAGACGGGGAGCGACGGGGAGCGACGGAGAGCGACGGGGAGCGACGGGAAGCCGACGGGGAGCGACGGGGAGCGACGGGGAGCGACGGGGAGCGACCGGCAGGGAGGGAGACGGGGAGCAACGGGGAGCGACGGGGAGCGACGGGGAGCGACGGGGAGCGACGGGGAGCGACGGGCAGGGAGGGAGACGGGGAGCGACGGGGAGCGACGGGGAGCGACGGAAGGCGACGGGGAGCGACGGGGGGCGACGGAGAGCGACGGGGAGCGACGGGGAGCGACGGGGAGCGACGGGGAGCGACAGGGAGCGACGGGGAGCGACGGGGAGCGACGGGGAGCGACGGGAAGCGACGGAGCGATGGGCAGGGAGGGAGACGGAGAGTGACGGGGAGCGACGGGGAGCGACGGAAGGCGACGGGGAGCGACCGGGAGCGACAGGGAGCGACGGGGATCGACGGGCAGGGAGGGAGAAGAAGAGCGACGGGGAGCGACGGGGAGCGACAGGCACAACGGAGAGCGACGGGGAGCGACGGGGAGCGACGGGGAGCGACGGGGAGCGACGGGCAGGGAGGGAGACGGCGAGCGACGGGGAGCGACGGAGAGCGACGGGGAGCGACGGGAAGCGACGGGGAGCGACGGGGAGCGACGGAGAGCGACGGGGAGCGACGGGGAGCGACGGGGCAAACCCTAAACCTACCCTACCTAAAACCATGCCGACACCCAAAGCCATCCCTAAACCAACCCTAAACCAAACCTCCAACCAACCCCAAGCCAACCCCAAGCCAACCCTAAACCGACCCTAACCAACCCTAAACCAACCCCTAAACCAACCCTAAAACCAGCCCTAAGCCAACCCCAAGCCAACCCTAAGCCACCCCTTAAACCAACCCTAAACCGACCCTCTATACCGACCCTAAACCGACCCTAAACCAACCCTAAGCCGACCCTAAACCAACCCTAAACCGACCCCAAACCGACTTTAAACAAACCCTAAACCGACCCTACACCAACCCTAAACCAACCCAAAACGAACCCTAAACCGACCCTAAACCAACCCTACCCTAAACCTCCCTTAAAACCATGCCGACACCCAAAACCAACCCTAAACCAACCCTAAGCCAACCCCAAGCCAACCGTAAACCGACCCTAAACCAACCCTAAACCAACCCTAAACCGACTCTGAACCAAGCCTCAAACCAACCCTAAACCAACCCAAAACCAACTCTAAACCGACCCTAAACCGACCCTAAACCAACCCTAAACCGACCCCAAACCGACTTTAAACAAACCCTAAACCGACCCTAAACCAACCCAAAACGAACCCTAAACCGACCCTAAACCAACCCTACCCTAAACCACCCCTAAAACCATGCCGACACCCAAAACCAACCCTAAACCAACCCTAAACCAACCCTCAAACCAACCCTAAGCCAACCCCAAGCCAACCCTAAACCGACCCTAAACCAACCCTAAACCAACTCTAAACCAACCCTAAACCAACCCAAAACCAACCCTAAACCAACCCTAAACCGACCCTAAACCAACCCTCAAACCAACCCTCAGCCAACCCCCTGCCAACCCTAGCCACCCCTTAAACGAACCCTAAACCAACCCCAAACCAACCCTAAACCAACCCTAAACCAACCCTAAACCCTGCCAACCCTCCAACCCTAAACCAACCCTAAACCAACCCTAAACCGACTCTGAACCAAGCCTCAAACCAACCCTAAACCAACCCAAAAAACCCTAAACCAACCCTAAACCGACCCTAAACCAACCCTCAAACCAACCCTCAGCCAACCCCCTGCCAACCCTAAGCCACCCCTTAAACGAACCCTAAACCAACCCTAAACCAACCAAGCCTAAACCATCCCTGAACCGACCCTAAACCAACCCTAAACCGACCCAAAACCATGCCTAAACCAACCAGAAACCATTTCCAACACCTGCCCCGGCAGCATTCCAACACCTGTCCAGGCAGGTTCCGACACCTGTGGACTCAACTCCACCTGAGAGATCCTCACTCCACATTTACTCGTCCAAAGAAGGGCTCCGTTTAGCTTCCACGACAAAAAAACAAAACACGAGGTACCTTCAAAACCCATCTACCGGAAGCCTGTGGTTGGTGACCTGTTTGCTTTCCAATCCTTGGCACGTGAGCAAGAAGCCGCCCACCAAAAATGCACAGAACCAAACAAAACACACAATCAATGGATAACGATTTAAACAAAGTTGCGGCCACCCATAAAAAAAAAAAGCAGAACCAACAAAACCACGAGTCATCCAAACACCCAAAACGACACTGAAGCAACACAAACACACATGCCAAGAACAGCGAGGGCATTTTTTTTGTATTTTTAAACTTGTTTAAAAGACCTGGAAATAAAAGGTGATCACCTTTTCGGGCCACTAAGAATGGACCAACATAGTGTGGATGGACGAAGTCCGCCACCTAAGGAACCCTAGAATGATGATTCCCCAACGTAAACACCATACAAACGTTCTGGTTCTCATTTCGTGACGTGGTTTATGGATTTCGCAGCCACCCACAGGAAAACCCGGAAAAACCGGTCCATTGATCCGGTGGATTGGCTTTTCAAGGGGTTGATTCCCGTTCTTCTCAAGAACCAGCTGGGATGTTTGTGGTTTTTAAAGAAAAAAGGATCCCTGGAAAGAATGGAAATGGAAGGTACCCCTAGAGCTTTGGGTCAAGTGCCTGAGCGCCAACTCTATTGGTCCTCAAAAAAACCGGTCCATAGAGCCGGTGGCTTTGGAGAAGTCGGCTTCGTCCCCAGGCCTTCTTGGGCACCTTGGGGATGAGGTGCGTCACCGAGCCCATGGAGTCGTCCCAAGACCCGTAGCCCGTGTAGGGCGGAGTCTTGGCCCTCCGGTCCGGTCGCGGGCGATTCTTTTTGGCGGGGGGGGTGTCGGATCTTGTTTTTGGCTCGCGGAGCCCGTGGTTCACCTGGGTTTAAAGGGAAACCAAAAAGGAAGACATACCCATTTTCACCCTTTAAAGGGAACCCAAAAGGAAGACATACCCTTTTTGGGAGGTCCCCGATTTTAGCACTACAGATACCCGTCTGTGGTCTCAAAATGGGAGAACCAAAATTGTGCTTTTCCTGTCGTCCCTTGAAACCAATTCCAAAATGAGTACCAGCTAAAAAAACAAACACCCATACTACACAACTAGACCCCTACAACTTTCGAAGGGATTCCCTTTTGCGAGGGCTGGCTAACTTGCTGGTTCTCAGTAGGGAATCGGTCTCGAACCACCAGTTGGATGGTTTTGGTCGCTGTCATTTCCGCATCTCCTGCTGAGAAGCAAAAAATAGCGAGCAACAGGTGGCAGCCACATGAGTTAGGGCATCCAAACTGTCGTCCATCCTACCTTTGCCATCGCTGACAAAAGGCTGTTCCTGAAAAATGGGGAAAAAACAAGGGGAAGCTATGGCATGAGGGAACCAAACATCCACTTGGAGTCTTGTATTTTGGGTGCCTCATGGAGACTCCAGGCAGATATTTCTGCATGAGAAGCCATCTAAAAACAAAAAAACAAACACTTACTTCAGACCAACAATAACGTGTGACGGTCGAATCGAAATATATTGTGCTCTCCGCATGGAGTCAGGCGAGTCAGACTCAAGACCATACTAAAGTGGTCGACCCAAACCAGCGGCCAGCGGCACCGAACTTTTTGGTTGGAGCTGTCCCAACCAAAACCCTTCAATCAGCTTCCCTTGAACTGGTGGTTTGGATTGGTGATGATTGTGGCTTTCCATTTATCCTCTATACGCACGAGAGGTTCAAATCCCCAAACCACCAACTAAGGGTTCCCTAAAATCACCTGAGGGTGTGGATCCGGTGAGTCGCTGGCAATACAGTGGCCGGACCAAATCCATTTCGCACCACTTCGAGCCATGCGGAAGCCAGAACGTTTCTTGGTATTTGCAAGAGAAAATCGAATCGTTCCAAGGGTTCTTAGGTGCAACTTGGATTTTGTCCATCCACAGTAAGGCCAGAAGTGGGTTACTAGACCAAGGGTGCCAAAGCGAATGCCAAGTCTTTCCCTTAGGATCCAACAATCAGAGCTGACAAAAGGGTGCTGGGTGCTCACTGCTCGAGTATATATCTCACTATCATGTAGTCCAACTCTACTTGAGCAATCAAAACCCCATCTGGGTGAATTTATATTATTTCACAAACCTGAAATAAGGTAATTGGGGGGGCTATTCCCCACATAAACCCAGCAATTGGGGTGAATTCGGTCGTGTGAGGTCGTTATAATTCACCCAGACCCCATCCCCCGACCAAAACCATCTCCCATCCCCCCCATCCCCCCCATCTCCCCCTCCCCTCCCCCCCCCTTATCCCCCCACCTTTCCTCCCCCCCGACCAAAACCCACGGAACGCACTTCGCTTCCTTCCTCCCGCGCCTGGGCACGGCGCGGTCGGGCAAGCGCACGTCGATGCGCGGATCCAGATCTTCGTTGAGCTCCCGCTGGAAGTGCCGCCTAGTGAACCTGGGCCCGGTCAACCGGAGAACTTCCATTTCTTAGTGTCTTTTTCCCGGGCAAAAAATGAGAAAAAATGCATGTCCAGTGACCGATTTCCCTGAAAATGAAAAGGGAAAAAATTGAAAGACCCCCATACCGTTCTTAGAACCTTAGAATACCTTAGAGGTTCCAAGAGAATCCTGAGAATCTGGAGGAATTGGGTGGGGCCCTAATGTGGCCACAATTTTTAATGGGGGACCCCCAACAGGTGGACATCATTTAGGTGGGGATTCAGCTAACCACCAACCACTTTTGAGGTTTGAACTCTGAAAGTTCAGTTCGCCATCTTTGCCCATTTTGTTGAACCCGCTTGCCGTAGCCTCACCATTCTGTTCAAAAATATAGCATAGCACAGCTTGGGTTTACCCAAACACGCCTGGCTGAGCTGGCCGACTCTCGGTCCCAACTTTGTTTCCTTCACAAGGCCCCAAGGTACACCCTGAGGCCTAGCTTCGGTTGTTTGATGTATCTGACATGTGAGTTTTTCCCTAAGCTTCCTTGTCAAATCCTAAGGAAACCAAGTCCGTGCTGGATTTTTCGGTTTCGGAACCTCTGGCTTCCCACATGTTTCCAAGGAACCCAGAAGGAAATCAAATCCAAGCACCCCCCCCTCCTTTGTCCCCCGGCTCCCACATGCGCAGAAGCAGCTTCTCTGGGTCAAAGACAAGGCCAATGTTTTCGGTGCTCCTTTTAGGCCCAGAGCTCCGAATTTCTGCGCGTGCGCTTGCTTTGGCTGGACAACTCGGGGGATCCATCTGCCTCCCCGCAAAATACCGCAGTGGTTTACGTCATGGGGCTTCATCTTTCCCAAGTGGTGAGAAATGGATTTCGCCCACTGTATTGATGGTGTAAGCATAATCCATTTGATACTTTGTCTACCTCAGACTACCTTTCGGAATTCAAAAAGGGATTCTTTCCCCAAAGGTCGGTTAGTTCGCTGGTCACTGAGGCTCGGTCAAACCGCATGAACCCTTCCTAGGTCCAGTAGAGAGGTTAGAATAAGGGTACCAACTTTTTCTGTAGTCTATTTTCGTAGGGGAACCCTCCCAACCAACAAAAGTTGGTAAACAAAAAGCCCCTAGCTGGGCGAGCTAGCTGTAGACGTCGGCACGCCCGGCACGCCCCGGGGTCCCGGCTCATCTGCGTCGTAGATGAAGAAGGAGTAGTTGCCCAACAGCTGCACCTCAAGGGGCGCTTCTTTGGAAGGAATCGGACACCCCGATCTGGCGATCCACCAAATAGACTTGCTGCAGCTCAGCGGGGAATGAGGGAATGATCGCTATAAACCAGCTTTTGTAGTTTCCTTTCAGGGGACCAAAGCCTAGGTTCATTCCATGCCACATTCCCTATGTATCGCACCAGCCACTGGCCCCATGACTTGACCATGATCAAAGTCACCCCCGTTCAGTGGTGGGTTAAAGGGAAACAGCCGATTCCAGTTTCGGACTTTGATAACCCCCAGAAACAGTCATAATATTGAGCCCTGCCGAAGTTTTGATGGCAAAGAGAAGCCAGAAGGAAACAGCCCATGTTTCACACCAAGCCGGGGAAGAGAAATGGAAACTGAGCAACGGAAGCAAAGAAACCAGGAACAGCGAGTGTCTACCCTGGTCAGACATCCCTGGCACCGAAATTCGGGCTGGAAAGCTTCGAAAAGAAAACTGAACACCAAAATTCGGCCCTGGATGTTCGGCAATAAGGCCAAAGGAGCCGATCCATCGAAAAGCAAACGGGCCAGCGCTTTGCCGGATCCGAACCCCTAGTAACCATTATCTGTCAAACGTGGCTTGGGACCCCTTTCAAGCATTCCTAGGGGTCCCCCCTTTCTCAAAAAAAAACAAGCAGCACATTGGGACCCATAAGCTTTTCAGGCCCTTGACCGGGGATCGCGCAAGGGAAACGTTTGGTGCACACCTCACTCTGATGCGCGAGAGAGAGAGAGGGACCTGACTCTCAGCACATCCGGCTTCATCGAGTTGGATTTTGTTTCTGCCTGAACCTGCCTGAAATCCAAATCCGTTGATGGCCCAAGGTACCCGAGACAGGTCGACTGAGCCCAGCGCTGTCATGTTCACCCTGAAGTCGTTGCCATGAACAAACCTCAAAGCGCCGTGAAAAATCGGCCAGGGTCAGCGGACGTGCCAGCGCTGCGGATGGACAAACTCCGCATCGCACCAGTTAGGATAAATGAAGCCCTAGAGATGGTGGGATAATCGATCATCTGGTGCAGGATTCCATCCACAGTATGACCAGTGACGGTCAATTCGTCTCATGTCCTATGGGCTTTGCAGGTGAAATGTAATACCTCGGTTTTTTCTGGGCCATGTCCTATGGGTTTTGACCCTACGTGTCCGCCTCTTTGACATCGAGCAAGCCCCTCAACTAGGCCGACAGCCAAGGACGCAAAAGCAAAGAAACGAGGTCCAACATGCTTTTTGAGCTGTCGGCTTTCTCAGCTGCCTTCGCCCATGGTGTCTTCATCTATCAATCATTTCCAAGACCCTTCAAACCCAAAGCAAAGGCATGAGACAAATACACCTTAGCGCTCGTGTATTCCTAATTTTTGGGCTTCCCCTTTCACCCTCAAACATAGAACCCACACTAGGTCCTCCAGTAGGGAGGTCAGAATAAGGGTACTCTTTTTTCTGTGGTCTATTTGAGTAGGGGAACCCTCCCCCAAAAAAGGGTAAAAGGGTACTACTGGGGGACCTAGCACAAAGAAGGCCCCTGCAGGAAAATCGTCTTCCCGCTCACCTCAGGTTCCATGCATGTGAGAGAGTGGAAGGGTAGTCTAGTGATGAGTTCGTCGATTGAAGAGATCCAGTCAAAGCTTTTTGACCGGAAGGGGCAGTAAAATTGCCCCATCCCCTAAGGATAAAGAATGAGCATGTGTCCAAGTCTTTGCATTTCATTGCATGGCAGCTTCCGTCAACATGTTAAACAAGTCATCAGGGTCCGGCAAATGTTGACACACGCGGTCCCAAGCAACGACCCACACCTTTCAAGCTTTCCCCATGGCTGTTTTGAGAAACTTGTGAAAATCCGTTTGGTTGTCGGCCACGTTTAAACCAAAACGGATCCCCGGAACCTTCTTCGACTCGTGCCACTCCTCTTTCAAACAACTTAAGGAGAGGACACCAACCTGTGGGATGTCCCAAAAGCAGCTGACAGCAGAACTTCCATAGTGCCCTTCCCTCACCTTACTCTAGGCATGCGCCACAACCAAAACAAACACATCCTCCCTCTATTTCATAAAATGTCTTCTTGGCCATCCTGGATTGGCCAAAAACAACACACCTTTGTTGGGCACTCGTTATAGGTAGACCCCTAAAACTAGAAAACAACCGCTCTTTTCTTAACATGGCGGAACCTTTGTTGGGCACATCATCCGTTGGGATGCCAAAAAGAACACATCACCATGACGATCTGATCACTTTAAATAAATCCGGTTTCCTTGAACTAATCTCAAACCGCCTTCCACCACGATGTCCCCAGAACGTGCCTCCGCCAGGGGTCCCCAATTTTCAGAGACACCCAACCATGGTCTTGACTTTCTTGGGACCTCTCCCCCTAATTTGTTTTTTCTGGGTGTTCTTTGGCTTCCCCTAGCAGACCAAACAAAAAGACCCACACCAACAAAATGGAAACAGACTCAAGCATTGGTCTGTCTTTTCTCGAGGCTACCCGAGTTTCTTGTGGTTTAAAAGAGAACACCCAGCGTTTTAGAGGGTCTAAAACAAGACACAATGGCCTCGGACCTTCGAAGCAGCGAAATGGCCCATCTCTCCTGCAAAATGGGTGGGTGGGTGGGGGGTGTGGGGGGTGTTCTGGGGTGTCCCTTTAAAGCAGCCCAAAAAGGGGGAAGATCGGTGGTTTCCCTTCAAAGCAGACCAACAACGGGGGAAAGGGGGGAAAATCAATTCGATCAAAACTCGCTCTGGAGGAGACCGATCTCTTTCATTTCCCTTTAAAGCAGACCAAGAACGCGGGGGGAAGGGGGAGATATCCATTGGAGAAAACAAAAAGACTCGTTTTGGAGGAGACAAAACGAGACCGACTCCATGGCTTCCAAGTGGCTCGTTCTTCTTCCGCGCTTGCGCCTGAGGGCCCTCCACCTTGTAGGCGCCCATCGGCATCTTGCCGCGCCGGAAGAAGATCGGGAAGTTGTCCCTGGATTCGGCGGAGGGATTTCGGCCGAGGGGAAAATCCCGCCCCCCCCGCCCGAGAAAAGAACAAACAAAGACGGATATCCATTTGGAGGATGGGGACGAGGGGAAATGTCCCAGAGGAAAGTTGATACGTCCATTTCATTTGGGTGCGTTTTTTTGTTTTGATGGGTATGGAGGATGGGGCCGAGTGGAAATGTCAAAGAATAAAGATGATAACTATCCATTTGGGCGCGGCATTTTTTTTTTTTTAATGGGTATGGGATTTCCCCTCGAAACAAGTTGATATCCATTTGGGTGCGGCACTTTTTTGGGATTTCCCCTCGAAAAAAGTTGAGATATCCATTTGGGTGCGGCATTTTTTGCTTTGATGGGTATGGGATTTCCCCTCGAAAAAAGTTGAGATATCCAGTTGGGTGCGGCATTTATTGCTTTGATGGGAATGAGATTCCCCCTCGAAAAAAGTTGAGATATCCATTTGGGTGCGGCATTTTTTGCTTTAATGGGTATGGGATTTCCCCTCAAAAAACGTTAAGATATCCATTTGGGTGCTGCATTTTTTGCTTTGATGGGTATGGGATTTCCCCTCGAAAAAAGTTGAGATATCCAGTTGGGTGTGGCATTTATTGCTTTGAATGGTATGGGATTTCCCCTCGAAAAAAGTTGAGATATCATTTGGGTGCGGCATTTTTTGCTTTGATGGGTATGGGTTTCCCCTCGAAAAAAGTTGAGATATCCATTTGGGTGCGGCATTTTTTGCTTTGATGGGTATGGGATTCCCCCTCGAAAAAAGTTGAGATATCCATTTGGGTGCGGCATTTTTTGCTTTGATGGGTACGGGATCTCGCCTCGAAAGAAGTTGAGATATCATTTGGGTGCGGCATGTTTTGCTTTGATGGGTATGGGATTCCCCCTCGAAAAAGTTGAGATATCCATTTGGACCCGATCAAAATGGTGGGGGTCCTGTTGGTTTCCCGCTAAAACCAGGAAAGATGGGTACGTTCAAGAAAGACACACACAGACACACACACACAGACACACACACAGACACACACACACACACACACACACACACACACACACACACACACACACACACACACACACACACACACACACACACGCACACACACACACACACACATTTGCCGGTTGGGTTCCGCTCAAAGTGCAACTTTCCTTTTGAAGGCTCGGAGTCAGCCATGCTGATCGCTTGTTGGGGTGATTCTAGAGGCACCAAGAGGACACGACCCCATATTCTTTCCGATCTTGGGGTCCCGAGCCCCCCCCCTATTTCGACACAGTGTCACCAACGTGGCTTGCACTCGAGGAATCCAGGAAGGCAACCCGGTATGAGACAAATTCAGGTAGGTGTACACCCAAAGACCACTGAATCTTCCCCAAAAACTACGCGCCTTCCGCAGTTCAGAGGGTACTGCTCCCGGATCTCGATGGTGTCGTCCGCCAGGAAGAACATGATGGTGAAGGGCCTCGTTTTTTTTGTTTGTTTGTTTGGTTTTTTTCCGAGCGAGCCGTTGGTTGGCCCAAGGATGTGTGAAGTTTGAGGCTCGGTAAAATGTTGGTTGGTGGTTGAAATGGAAACATCGAAACCTGAAATCCGTTTCGGGTGTCTCCCTTAAGACGCATCACAAAATGCCGGGCCTGCGCTAGTATTCAGAGTGGGTACCCTGTCAAGCAGGGCGGCCAGAACAGAAAAAGATCACACAGAAAGCCACCCTTTTTGGGGGTCCCCTGCTTTGAAAACTCACTTACCAAGTTGACTGGCCAAAAAAAGTCCAGGAACTTTCTATTTACAACTAAAATGGTCTTTCCAAAAAGTGTAGAGTCCATCAACTCAGGAAGTGACAATTTGACACACACACACACACACACCCAACTGGGGCATTTTCATGCCAAATGCGCCGTGCAAGATGGGGCAAACGCCCCAGCAGCCTCCCAGATTTTCAGAGTTGGAACCATCCATAGGGGCCGTCGGTGGTTTTTGGAGCCGGTGCCACTTTCTTGGTATGGGCTTTAAGAGGGAAACCAAGAGGAACACCACGACTTGTGTGGGTCCCTCAAAAAACACACACACAAAAAAATATCACAACCCCAGAACCCCATTCTAACGATTTAGGCTGGAGGTTGTCTCAAAAAGACCTCAAATGGGGCTGTTGCCCGAGCTCTGTTCCATCCAGGTCCTGCAAGCCCTGAAGGCTGCAGCCAGAACATAAGCATGGCTCTTTTGTTGTTGTTGAGGATACCCGTTTTGGGGGGTTCTTGAAACAGGGAAACCAAAGGAAAACCGCTCCCATGTTTCCAGCCGGCGGCTCCCCGCCGGCGGCTCCCCGACTTGCGATTGTCTCAAACAAGGCGGACCCGAAGAATGGTGGTACGTTTTGATTTACTCTGAACAAGTATCTACAAAGAGGGAACCTTCTACAAGAACCCAGTTTAAAGAACCCAGTGAGAGACAAACCCACGAAGCACGAAGCACCAAGCAAGAGCACACAGCTGGGGCGAGGGCCGGCGCTCGAACTGAGGAGTGGTGACCTGAACCGGAGGCACGGGTTAATTGGCAGCATGTGAGAACCCAGTGCCATGGTCAAAGCCGGAAGTCAGTTGCCCTCCCACCAATTTACATGGAACCTGACAAAAGGGAAAGGGGGTCTGAAAGACCATTTTCCGTTTAAAAGGGACCGGGTCCCTGTCAGGTTCCATGTTAATTAGTGGGAGGGTACCACCATGAAAACAAAAAAGGGTTCATATTTCACCACCAGAATGTGTTCAGGATTGTCATCTGAATTGGATCCTTGCCATTCTTTTCATGGGGGTTGAACCCTGGGGTCCTGTGGGACATGGCTGGATCTGAGATTTGGCAATAGACAACATGACCACTCGGTTTTTGGTGGGGAAAAAGCAGAAAGTGCACCACCAAAAGCGCTGGGTAAGTGGCAGTTCTCCGGGTTCCAAGTTGTTCTCCATTGCTCGAAGGAACCACCTGGATCCCGCGCCCGTTGGGCCACTTTTGAAAAAAAAGGAGAAAAGAGTATCCCCACAAGACGGCGATCAGAAGAACCATGGAAGATGCCAAAAGCAAGTGCTTGGCGCCGCTCAGTTGTTCACAACAAGCAAAACACGTACATGTCTTCTTTGCAGTTGTCTGCAATGTGGGTGTGTGGCTTCTGAGGCTCGGTGCCCGTTTTGCAGTGGCAAACCAAAGGAAAACCCAAACCTAGCATTTTGGCGGGGTCCCCTATTTAGGCGTGTCCTTTTTCAGGGCATTCCCAACAAGTTGCGGCTTTCTTGGTTTCCCTTGAACACCACCGAAGTAACAAGAGACACACCCATTTGGACACAGAGAGCGAGTCCAAGCACCGCTTTAAGAAACGGGAAGAAAACGGCGCGGAGCACTCCGAGAACCCCCGCATCATCCATCACAGCAAAGAAGCGCAGCACCTGACGGCTGTGAGTTTCAAGCCCGTTTCAAGGCCTTGTTCTGCAGGGGTGGACCGGTTCTTGGGATTCTTTACATTTGAGCGGCCCTATTTTAACCCATCCGCTTTTGCATGATCAAGCAACTATTATGAAAGCAACCTGCTTTGGGAGTCCACTCAAAGGCCATGGTTGGTTTGACTCCGCATGCTTTGCCCAGCCCTACTTCCAGGTGCTTCCAGTTGATGCCCGATCCGACCTCCTACAGATTATGTCTGCTGGCTGGGGAAAATATAGAGAAGACATTACAGAACCCCATGTTCCCTGTTTCCGCTTTAAACCAACCTAAGGGTGCCAAGCGTTAAAGCGAACACCAAAAATCCAGCATGTCCCGCTGATCCGCTTCCACAAAAACCAACCTGACAGCGCCGACTCCAAAACCGAACGGCCAATGCTCCCTTCGCCTGCTTGTCCTTCTCGAGGAACTGCTGCATGTCCGCGTTGATGTGGCCGCCGCCCAGCATCACCTGCCCCCGTTTTTCCAGCAAACCACTGCCCAGGTTGACAAGAAAATGACAAACAAGCACGAAATAGGATAGGTACCTGCTTCAGGGTGGTACATGCCGTGGTTCGCAAAATAATCCCCTTGTGTGATGGTTGTAAGAGGAAACCAAAGAAAACCAAACCACATGAATGGGGTCCTCCATTTTGTTTTGAACACCCATATCTGGAAGATCAAATAGACTTGGAGAGGGATCTCAAATCTTTTGGGGAAAGAAAGGATTCAGAGTCAGAGGGTGTTCGATTAAGTACTGCCTCAAAGCACACTACCGCCTGCCCTCTATAGGGGAGTTTGTACAGACCCCTTTTTGCTTGCTTTAAAGTGAGTCGGAAACCGAAGAACCACGTGGCGCGAACAAGTGGAATGCACCACACTTCTAGATTCCTCTCCAGCTAATAGTCCCTTCACTGAACATGTCATTCAAGTTCGCAGTCTTCAGCACATGTTGTTCAAAACGAGTGCCTCTCGAACCAGGCCGATTGGCCCTTTTGAGTCGAGACCAACACCTGGCTGCCGCACCTCTCTGTACATCTTCTCGTACGTCCTGGCTTGTACTGGCGCATGGCTCTTCCTGAGCTCCGCAAAGGCACTCGACACGCAGTGGACACCAAAAGCTGGCAGGTGGCCATCCACAAACACATGAGTCAGCAAGCAAGCACGCACGCACGCACGCACGCACGCACGCACGCAAGCAAGCAAGCAAGCAAGCAAGCAAGCAAGCAGCACACCAAAAATACAAAACAAAACAAAGATGCGCAAGGGGAACCGACTCTGTCCCAATCCCACAACCCCGACCCCAAGTCCTAAGTGTCCACAATGCACCTGCACCCGAAATGTTGAAACCACCTTCTATGAGGCTATTGCTTTTGTTGGCATGTTGTTGCTGCAAAACACTGTAACTCGAAGTGCCCATAATATGGCCCCCGTGCCAATCCCGGTGACCCTGGCCGAAAACGACTTGAAACCCCTCTTTGAGGTCAATCCCATATCCGTCCCCAACCCACTAAGAACTCGGAGTGATTCGAAGCGCCCCAGGAATTCCACTGACGTCCAAAGCCCCGTCCAACCCCCCCCTTGCAACAAAAAAACCCAGGCGTTTGCGGCTGACGAAAAACTCGGGCGAAGAATCCACCCAGCGCTGTGAGGCTTTGAGCCATTCCAAGGCTTTGGGGGATCCACCGAACCTCCCAAACAAAAACCCCCATGATTCCCCCCGTCCATCCCCCCGCTGCCCCCAGCCGCCCCCCGTGGTCCCAAAAAACTAAGTCCAAGAAAGAAAAAGGAAAAAGTAAAAGAAGGGAAAAAGAAAAAAAAACAGAAGAAGAAAAAAAACAAAAACGAAGAAATCTTTCTTTCCTAAAAAAAAAGGAGCTGGAGATCCGGATGTGGGGGGATGATCTAAATGTGGTCCCACTTCCTGAGTTAATGATCTTTAAACTTTTTGGGAAGACCATTTTAGTGGTAAATATAAAGTTTGAACTTTTATGGCCATCCACTCAGCTGTTGGGACACATTTGTTCATGTTTGCTTATTGTGGTTTAGTGGGAGATCCCCACTGAACGGCTAGAATTGAAATGTTTGCTATGTTTGCTCCCAACGTCAACCAAGTGACCCCATACTGTGGGTGGAGGAATCCATCTCGCACCATTCAGAAACCCGGGTTTCTGATGATTCCCTAACGTAAATACCAACAAGCAATGATGCCCCATGTTTTCCAATATCCCCACAAAGGGCAAAACTTGTTGGTGCCATAGGCAGGGAAAATAGAAGTGGAATAATGTTGGAGAGTGGTTAGCAAAGGCCCCCCCCCCTCAAACGAATCGGGGGGGGTCAATAGCGAAAACCCCAAGAACAAAATGGGGGTCAGACTGGGACCTGCCTGAGTTCCAGTAAGTACTGTTTAGAATTGGTGTAGTATTGGTTTAGTATTCCTTTGAGCTGGCTCACTACGGTTTAGAATTGGTTTAGTGTTAGTTCAGATTCTTTTCAGTTGACTCACTACAGTTTAGAATTGGTTTAGTATTGGTTCTTCTTCTTGGCAGGCTGCCCTGGCCATTTTTTTTCACAATTCCCTACCCTTAAACAAACTGCATTATTGCCTTCCTGGGGGTTCCGTGTGCCACCCCCTTGAAAATTTGCCAGGGTGCATCTTCTAGAAAAGGGATTGATAAGGAATTTTGTGGTTTGGGACAGGAAGCAATCCAGGTTTTCTGGACATTTCTGGCTGGACTCAAACGGTTCAACCCTCAAAAATAGTCCTTTCTTGGAAGGGAACATATTTTCGGGATTTCGGGCCGATTCTTTTTCTGTAATACCGACCCTTTTTGCTTTTCAGGAGAGTGAATAATTTAGATTAAAATAAAAATAAAAATCTGTATTCACTCCCCTTATACTAACCGCTATCTAACTTTTCCCTTATCCCATCCCTTGCTGGTGGTTTCCTTGAGGGACTCCAGTTTAGGGTTTGGGGCTTGAGCACTATGCTTTCAGGTTTGAAGGTTGATCACATGGGCATGATGTACCTTCATGGAGCCCCGTGTAGCTTCATGTAACTGGAGGTTCACCTGAAACCGTTTCGGTGCGAGCTGTTTATGGTTCATCCTGGTTGATTTTTCCCATGGCCCCCAAATGACCATATGTAACGGGTGAACGGGGTTCCGTTTTTTGTTGTTGTTTTTTTGTTTTTTGTTTTTTTCCCCGGTTTTTTCTCCGAGGAGTCCATGTTCGTGGCTTTCACGACAACACGAAGGAACCGAAGCTCACTTGAGGGGGTGGCCCTACTTTACAACCAATATGGGACATGTGGAGGGTTGAACAATATTCCGCTCGGTCCCCAACTGACCATGGGTAAATGTTCCCGTGTGTGTTGTCCAATCCAAGTAGGTGTGGGTTAAACATAGGTACCCAACATGGAACCCTGGTAAATGGAAGCAAGGACATTCAAACCTGCGGTCCATATCCTGGTGGTATGATGTCGACCCAAATAGACAGTGGGATGTGGGATTTGCGACATGGCCGTACTCACCCACCAAAATCCGGAAAAGTCGGGGACTCGCGTTTTGTTTCTCCAAGCACCCAAGTACTTGGTTGTTCGGCCAAGTAGGATGTTGGCAACCTAGGTCAGGTGATAACCTGCTTCAAAGTCCCCGTAAGCGGAAATGACCCTCTTAGCGGGTTATAGCTGGGTAACCACTTACCAACTTGGCCGACATCCAAGTAAGTGGGAAGCCAAGGCAACATGCTTCATCAACTGTAAATACAGTAGGTTAGGTTTGTAGGATCGGTGTTCTATAGCTGCTGTTCATGTCAAGTGCGAACTGAACGAGTGGCTTGCTAGAAACAGTGGTGATTTGCCCGCTTTGGACGGCCTCAATAAGTGCAGACCCATCCCTCGCATGCGCCTTGAGCTGAAACTTGACGCAAGAGGTATCTACCTGATGTTTTGTTTCAACTGGACATTTCATGCCCACCTAGAGGGGACCCCCCGCCCGCAATCCTTCCCCTCCGAATTGTGGAATGATTGAGCGGGAAGATAGGGATCCCGATGATCATACAGCAAATCGTTTAGCAAAACAATTAAAACCATGGTAGAGCGAAAATAACCAACACAACTCAAATGAACCCAAAGAAAACATGTTGTCATTGGAACGACTGAACATATCTTTTGGTCTTTGCACAGTGATGGTTTCCCCGCAATTGACAAAGGGGCACCCGTTGTCCCACTGTTATAACCATGTGTTTCAGTTCTGACATTTGCCAATCATTGTGTTTTCGATGAGCTACAACGAAGAACATTGCTACCTCAAATACCAGAAGATCCCCCTTCCAGCAGTACTTCAGCAGTCTTTTCTCGCATAGGTAGCTGCGCAGCCTTTCGGCACAAGCATTTGCAGGCCTTTGGTCTGTGATGCTCCGCGGAATATGTTACTTCCCAAGCTTAGAAGTGCTTGCCAACCCGGCATGTCCTTCTGGATGCAACGAAGGCATTTCTTTCCTGTCCGATCTATGATGGGCAAGTCGTCTGATGCTCGATATTGGGCCCTGGTGGGAGTGTCCAGCTTCTCCTACGCTGGCGCCTGGTCCGGAGGGATGCCTTTGACGAATCCGTCGTCTGCTTTGCATTTTGCAAGTGCAAATCAAGGGTCCTACTGTGGATGGACGAAATCCTGTACCACTTTGAAACCGTGAAAATCCAATGTTTGTTGGTATTTACAGGGGAATCATCATTCCAGGGTTTCTTGAGTGGTGCAGGATTTCGTCCATCTACGGTATGGCCCTGATGTGCCTGGACTTCCACATACACGCGTTCTATGGATCGGAGCCTTCTTCCAGTTGGTTTCCTTTTGCTTGTTTGCCACAAACGACCAGCCAAAGAAATGGTCCTTTTATTGGCACTTTTCATTGCTTCGGCAAAGTCACCATCTTTGGTTGTTCCGTTGAAGTGTAAACCATTCCAAAAAAAGATTTGAACGACACCCAACTGTGGATAGGTGCCTGCTACTTCTTCTTTTATCACACGCAAGCCTTTGGGCATGGCTACTACCAGAGGCTTCGAGCCCAAGTCACCTCCTCCTCAGTACACCAGCGCTTGCAGAATGAGCTGCAGCTGAGCGGCGTTGTTGCGGCACCTGAGTTGCAAGTGACGATCCCCCCTCCCCCCCCCGACTTCCCCCGCTTCTTGTACCTTTCTTTCGGCAAGGTTCCCTGAAGTCGGGCAAGGTCACTGGATGTCCAAGCTGATCGATTCAACGGCTTTCATCGAATGAATCGCCGAACTTGTGGAGTTTGGGTCGCTGCAAAAGGCGGAAGGCAGGCAGGGACTGAATTCAGCCAATGTGAGACCTGTTTTCCTTTTTGCTTGGTGGGTAGCCACGGCCTTTTTGTTTCCTCCCGAAAAATGCACTCAGCTGAGGCGCTGATGACGACAGCCGCCTTCTCCTCGTTTCGGCAGCCGCCCGTTGCGCCGCAGAATATCCCGAGGTTGCCACAGCTCTGTGGCTGCTGCGTGGCTATTTGGGCAGATGACCACATGGCTGTGGGTCAAAACCGTTTTGGGATCTCATTTTGGTTGGTTGGTGAATTCACCACCCATTTTAGAACCTATTTGGGATGTTCACTGGGGGTCCGAGATTTTGACCCATGGCCACATATCCTTTTCCCCCCCCAATACCCTCTTACCACCAATCATGGAAGTGAACAGGAGGTCTGTTGAAGATGACAGTAGCCTTCCAGATCCCTTCTTCGCCCTTCCATGATTGTTGAACAGAGGGTACGATTCTGTTAGGCGGTTGTGCTTGCTGATAATGAGGCATCAGGTTTCTTTAGTAGGTAATCCGGGGTTTAGCCCTCGTGTCCCGTGCGAAACTAAGTTGGTCATCAACCTGAGGAAACTGGTTTGCATTGGGTTTAGCTACCCCGTTACCCTCCCACTAACATGGAAGTGCATAGACCCCTGTGGAAGGACTACTTTCCTGTTGGAAAGGGTGTGTGTGTGTGTGTGCACTTTCATGTTAGTTGTAGTGTTCCGTGTTAAGAATACATGTTGTTTAATTGTCTTTTTGTTGGTTGTAAAGAGAATCTGTCACTACAGGGCATAGTTATTAGCTTGCTCCAGATAACTTACGCAAATGGAAGCGGTGAGGCTAGAACGAAAAGTCAATGGGTGAAACCGGCGCTGCTCAGGTTTTTTTGTTTTCCCGTGCACAACCCATTGTTGCATGGTTGCAAGACAATTCGTTGCTTTTTGGTACGACATGTGTTTATGTCAAGCTTGATCACTGTTTCCCTTCCAACCAGCAACAAGTAAATCTTGCTGGGCAACAATGTTAAGCTTGTTGTGTCAGTTCGACCCCGAAAATGTCTCTGGGGCTAGGTTTCATGGGCCTGGGCATGACTCTGAACTTCTTTGCCCTCATCGTGGCGCTGCACATGCAGATGAAGCTCAATGAATACGAGGACGGCGCTGAGTTCCTGCGGATGCATGAGACGCTTGGAAGCGAGCCGATGGGGGGATGGCATGCGGTTGAGATCAGGTACACCCGCAGGGGTAGGGAAAAGCAACACAGACAATGTGTGATGTGTTTCACGGAACCTGACAGGGGCTCCCTTTAAAACGAGAATGGTCTTTCAGTCCCTCTGTCAGGTTCCATGTTAATTGGGAGGAGGGTACTTGAAAAGAACGTACACAGAGATGAATGACTGATGGTATTGCGATTTCATCCATTCGCCTTGATCATCATGAACACCTAGAAACATCATGAGCCGAATGCAGTTCTGCCATCTTGGAAAGCCAAGCCGGACCTTCCAATCGAACCAGTGTTTCAGGCACATGTTGCAGTGCCCGTTAGTTGGTAGCGTTCAACGCTGACCAGAGTTTCTACTGCTCCAGGCAGCAATTATGAGCAGTGTGTTGGCTAGTTAAGAAGTGATAAGCTTCAGTAGCTGTGGGGGCAGCCCATTTTCCGAGCAAACGCTTATCCTGATCCATTCGTGTGAGGTCTTGCGCCCAACTAATTATGTTTGCCCTGTCTGCTTCTGAGAACCCCTCTGCCATGGCTTGCTTCAGCAGGTTGCCCCAACTCTGACCCAAAACCATTGAGATTTGAACCACAGGGTCATGACTCCAGTTCCACGAAAGATGTGGCTTGGCTCCGAATCAGCTTCCCTTTGGCGCGACACTCGGTACAAGAAAGCTTTTGTGTTGACACACCTTCTTCCCCCACCATGGTACAAGAAAACCTCACCTTGTTCCCCTCCCGCGGAAATATGTTTTGTTTCTCCCGAGGACGGTGCTGCCTCTGCACAAGCGTTTGCTCTTCGCCGGGGGCCTGGCGCTGTGTCTGGGCAAAGTGGCGCTCAGCTTCGCGCTGTACAAGGCCCCTGCGGCGCTGCTCACGGCGGCGTCCCTCACCTCAGGCGGGTTTTGCTTTAGGGGATGGAACCGCTTTGGGTCCGACTGGGCGGCGTTCTTTTTCTTCTTCTTGTTCTTCTTATCTTCCATTTGCTTCGGAATATGTGGTTTTGTTCTCGCTTGTTGGTGTTGAAAGGGAATCTAGCACTTCGGAAAAGATGTTGGCTTTTGTCCAGGGGGCTTATTCAGATGTGTAAGTCTTTGTTTTTGGAATCGGACCCCCGACATGGTGGCTTTCCTTGTGGTTGTCCTCCAAACCAAGCCTTGGAACCTCGAAAGGGCCCTTTTTGAGGTCCAAGCCCTTCCAGGAGCGATTCCCGAAGGTGTTACCGTGAGGGCCGTCACGCATGATTTACAACCCATTTGGAGTGGAGTAAGGTCTCACTACTTTCGCGCTCGAATTGGGGAGTGGGGGGGGGGGCCTTTTACAAGGGACGACTCTTGGAAGGAAATCGACCAATTTGGCGGGACCTTCTTGGTAGAATGAGCCCTTAGCAGCCTGCCCAGAGGCATTATTGCTGACTGCTGCTTCCATTGCACGTGGAAACGCATGTGCATCCACATCTACCGCAAGACATCTGCCTTTTCGGTGTAGGGCTGAACGATGGCCACCAGTTCTGCATTTCCTCACTTCCCGAGTTCTTGGACGAACATTTCGAGAAGACCATTTCAGTGGCAAGCCGAAAGTTTTTGGTTACTCTTTGTGGCCAATCCACTGGATCGGAAGAATCCACTGGATCGGAAGGAAGTGAGTTCATGGGGGGATTTCTGGCTTGCGGTTCCTCGTCCCTTCCGATTCGAAGCCGAGGCGGCTTCGCCTTGGCATGGCTCATTCGAGACATGTATCGGCGGGAGTGCCTGGAAAGAGCCGTGAGAACGAATCGGGGGGCGCAGTTCGTTGACTCAAAGCCAGAGGGTCGTCTTGGTACCTCCTGAGGATGGCTTTTGGGGGCTAAGAAGGGGTCCACGTATTTGTTTAGGTATTTGGACCCTGAAGGAAAGGTGTTACTCGAAGTGGACGGTGTTGCATGGTATGTGTTGTGGCTCAAAGTTGGCGTCGTTTTCACTTTTGATTCATGTAGAGGGAGTTGGTTGGGGCATGACAGAGCATGTTGATTGGTCAGAAAAGGCATTTGGATCCCCACCCCCAAAATCTGCGAGGGTAAGGACTGCTGGTTCTCCCCATCATCCGCCCATAGATTTGTGCACCAATGGAGAACAAATCAGGAACACCGGCTCTTCCTTACTTTTGGGGACGACCATTTTAGTGGCCAGCAGGAGTCCCAGTGTTGGTCGGCAATGGGTAAGAGTGCGAGCGGCACCGAATTCAATTCCTCGTGACTGATCGGCAGGAACCCAACAAAACACCTGGATCGTTCTCACAGAAATGGTCTTCTAGTTGGCATTTGGGCCCCTGGGGCAAGGACCTGTAGACACAGCTTGTTGCATCATGAGCTTTGATACTTGCCACATGCAGCGAGCAGCATGGGACCATTGGAAGGCTTCGGACCGCAGAAAAACCGCTTTGAGGTTCCAAGATGATCTTCCATTTCTTAAGAGTAGTGTTGATTTGCCTCTGCTGGTTTTAAGGGAATCATTGGGACTTTTTTTTTGCAGGGGACTTGAGCAAATAAAGTCTCCGGGTGTGGCAGAAGTTGTTCATAGTTTGTTTTTTGGTTGTTTGAACATGATGCATTTCGCAGCTGCTTTGGCGCAGGCTTGAACCAGGCATTTGATTTGAGACGACATGCGTGATTTTCAGCAATACTACTCTACTGATTTGTTGGAAGCACAAGGAGACCGGAGACCGGGGGTCTACCACAAACGCCCCCTGCTGACATGGAACTTTTGCTGCCTGGGACGCGGGCGCACGAGTGATCGGGGACCAGAATTTCCTGCACAACCAAGGTAGCTCACAGATACTCACACAGAACCAGCGGGACTGACCAACATGTTCACCTGGACCCTCAAACCACCCATAAAAACGGAATTCACTCCCCATAATTTGGGGGCAATAACCAATTCTTAAGGCATTTATCAGGGCCAGGCAGTTCGCCCGTGGCATAGTGCAGCGTTGTCCGCCAATGTGGGCGCTTCAGAGAGGCTTTCGCTTTTCCGGCACGGGCCCTGTCCGGAGCGCGGCATCGCTGAGCGACTCTATCAGCTCGCCTCACACGAGATATTGGGCGCTGGTGGGGGTCTCTAGCTTGTCCTATGCTGGCGCCTGGTCTAACTGGCTTGACCTTGGAACTTGGGATGATCCCACTTCCCCGGTGGATTCCACCCCTTGATTTCTTTGGAAAGAGGGTCCCTTTAACGTCCACCAACACAATACAAGCTGTTGTTTGTTTTTGTTTCCCTTTTTTTTCTCGGGGGTTTGGAGTGATGGATTCCCACAAACGAGCAGCAGGCATAGATGTCTCGTTGGACTCCCACGGTTGGCAACAGGGAGAACTCAAACGGTTGGTGTCCTCTCGTTTTGTCAACTATTGACTTTGACTTTTCAGAACTGATTTTGGACTTTTGACTTTTATTCTGATTGCCAATCTAATTGAGAACTGAGTCTGAAAAGTCAAAGATCGGGCTCACCGACTCCAGGGGGAAGCAAGGCTTTCCACGGACCTCTACTAAGGTGATCCCATTTGGTGAATGAGTTGTTGTTGTTTTTTTCTGCGCGGACATGATTATCAGACCAGTTGGCATTAAAGTCTCCGATGTGTTCGCTGACATGGTGGCTTGGTTTCCTTGTGTTTTCCTACCAGCAAATCAAGAGGGCTTTTGGCTCTTTGAACTTTGCTCACCTTCGATGTTTGGTCCAGCTTGTCATTTGGATAGGTGCCTGCTATTTCTTCTTTTACCACACCCAGCCTTTTGGGCAACGCTGCTACCAGCGGCTTCGTGCCCAAGTAAGTGCCAAGGACAGTCCAAGTGACTCGTTGCCAAAGCGGGGTTTATAAGCGGTGAGCCTGTTGCATCCCTAGGAGCATGTGCTACTGTCCCTAGACTGATAGTATGTGAAGATGTTGTAGAGCCGTCCATTTCTGAATTCCCTTACACGGGTGTGTCTTTTTCGTGGACCCCCAAAATGACCAGTTTCCCTCATTATTTCCCTCTAAAGCATCAAACCCGGGCCTCAAAATTAAATAAATTAAAGACAAGATACACCTGTACTCGTATGACATCCATGCCCAAAATCTGGGATCAGCGTCTTTTGGGGGTACTCACAAAAAGACGAGCGCCCCCCCGCTTCTTTCGGAGGTATCGCTGTAAAGACGGGCCACCCCGGGCCCAGGAGGTGCACGGCCGCATGCAGAACGAGCTGGAGCTCAGCGGCGTGGTGGCGGCCGTGATGACCTCCGCGGCCTTCAGTTCCTTCCGGGAGCCCCCGGTGCCCAGTAAAACCATGCCGAGGCTGCCACAGCTTTGCGGCAGCCCCGTGGCAGGAGCTTTGGTTAGTTGTGGTGTGTTTTTATGTTTATCAAATTTGCTTTGATTAAAAACATATGAGTTTGCTCATTCCTTGCTTCATTTTTGTTTTATTTGTCGTGTGTGTTTCATTAAATAATGTGAAGCATTGCTATTTAAAGGTCTTAATGAAAGTTTCAATAGGCTCCCTGCAATCGCTGGCGTCTCCATGCCTAGACTGAATAAAGGGCTTGTGTTATGTTTTGTTTATTGTTGTTGTTGTTCTTTTCTTCTTTTTTTTTGTGTGTGTGTGTGTGTTTGTGTGTGTGTGTGTGTGTGTGTGTGTGTGTGTGTGTGTGTGTGTGTGTGTGTGTGTGTGTGTGTGTGTGTGTGTGTGTGTGTGTGTGTGTGTGTGTGTGTGTGTGTGTGTGTGTGTGTGTGGGGGAGAACCCTTTTTGGTGGTTTTAAAGGGGAACCAAAAGGAAAACCACCATTTTGGGGTGTCACCTGAAAGAAGACACACCTATGTTTCTTTCTGTGCAGCCCAGTGGGCCAAGAAAAGGTTCCGGCTTGAGAAAAGGTTTAGGCAAAAGAAGGCAGTTCCAGCCCTGCAAGTTGGCAAACCTGCGGCTTTGGATGAATGCATAAGATGGGTGTTTGGATGTGCTATTTGTTCGTCCTGATGTTGTTTATGTGCGGACATTGGTCGTGAACCATGGCTGGTGAAATGATATCATGTAGTATGATACTGTTCAGCAATCTGTGGCGCACATGTGAGACGGGACGAAGTCTCGTAGAACAACCCCCCCCAAAACAAAAATGTGCAGCTCTCCTAGGTTCGAACCCCAACCTTGGGCGTTGCCCAGACCACTGATGGTAGAAAATGGGATCAGTGAATCCCCCTTGCTCGTTGCGGCCCAGGTTTCATGGGCTTGGGCATGACTCTGAACTTCTTTGCTCTCATCGTCGCTTTGCATATGCAGCTTACTCGTGAAAAGCGCATTGACCTTGCACCCTCCAAGGGTTGTCCATTTTTCCTGAAAAGCGGCCATTTTGGGTACCAATTAACAACCCTTGGGTGCTAGTCTTGACCTTTGGGTCGATTTCTCGGCTTAGCTCCATGTTTCGTTTTCCGGAAAAGTTGCCCCCCTTGGCCCCGAGTGGTCCGAGTCCAGGTCCTTGGCAAGTGAGGCAGATGAAGCTCAATGAGTACGAAGACGGCGCGGAGTTCCTCCGGGTCCATGAGAGGCTTGGCTGAGATCCAAACGTGGGGGCCCAGGCAGCTGCCACCGGGCGCTAGAGACGCGGACTTTAAGGGAAAGCGACACTTCACAGAGGAGGGATGTGGCCATGCATAACCTATGGCTCCATTTCGGGTGGATGAACATCGATTTGCCACCTATTTTGATGTTCACCAGGGGTACAGGGTTTTGACCCACAGCCATGTGACCTGCCCCATTAAGGCTCTTTTCTTCGCCCTGAATTTCCGGTGAGTGAATTTGTTGAGTTCGGAAGGTCAAAGGAATCGCAAGACAAATGATGGTTTGTGCTGCGGCCCTCAAGCCTTTCAGATTTTGAGAAGGACGGTGGTCAGTTGAACTAAACCCATGAGGCGTGCTTCGACTGCTATGGCCTGAAGCCAACCAACTGCTTAGATTTTGGATCAGTTCTAAGCGCGTCTTGACAGCCACTTCATGGCCACTTGATGTTTCATAAAATGACACAGTCACGCAACGACGCGAACGAACAACGGCAGCCAATGAACACTGTATGTGGCGTATAAACGCATCCTAGGTCCCCCAGTGCCCTTTTACCCTTTTATTGGGGGAGGGTTCCACTACTGAGCAACAATTGGGTACCCTTATTCTAACCTCTCCACTGGAGGACCTAGACACATCTTTTTATTTTTTGTTTTCTCGCCAAGGACGGTGCTGCCTTTGCACCGGCGCCTGCTCTTCGCCGGGGGCCTGGCGCTGTGTTTGGGCAAAGTGGCCCTGAGCTTCACGCTCTACGAAGCACCCGCGGCACTTCTCACGGCGGCGTCCCTGACGTCAGGCGGAGGTTTTGGGGTGGGCGGGTGAGCGAGGCCACCTTGCTGTGGTTGTCAAAACCAATGGGATCCCATTTTGGTGGGTAGGTGAATTCACCACCCATTTTAGAACCTATTTTAGTGGGGATTGGGATGTTCACTGGGGGTACGGGGTTTTGACCCATAGCCACATTGGTGAACCGACCACTCGAGGGCGCCAAGAGGGGAGCCAAAATGAAGGGAGGGCGCCATTCACGAACCAAAATGGAGGGCGAGCCAACGGAGCTATAGATGTTTTAGAACCCTCCAACTTTGCCCTTGGCTTTGTGTGAACTAAAGCCAGCAATGGGAATGAAGAAGCCACCAGGGCCCAATAAGGCCTAATAGCTCCCACTGGCTGAGAAAGCAGATGAGCAAACCACGCGCAATGCAAAGTTGCGGCAATTTGCTGAATCCAGGGCAGTTGTCAAGACAGCAAGCGCTTTGCCAGCTCAATCACAATTTGAGTCTTTGGTGTGTGGGCGAAAGAAGAAGTGCGCAGGTGCCCAATAGACGCCGGTGCCCAATAAGGTCCAACAGGGCCCAACAGGCCCGAATAAATCTTTGCTGCAATCAATACTTGGTGGCTCCCAGCCATCCTGCAAGGTTTTTTGCCTTTTAGTGTTTCGTGGGGAGTTCCATTTAACCCACGAAAAGTCAAACTTTTGGCGGGGGATCTGAGGACAGCCCAGAATGGTTCAGGGCAGACTTTGAGCCTCCCTTTGCTGGCGCTTCGTTTTCGGTCACGACACAATCGTACGTGCGTGCGGGCGAAATCGGAGAGCCACCAAAAGAATTGGATTCTTTTAGGCTTCCCTTGAAGGCATCCAAAAGGGGTACCCCAAAACAAACACAGAAACCACACATATGGCTACGAGCTTTAACCGTTGAAACACCCCTTAGACATGGCTGATGGACATCGATTCCCCCACCAACGGGTCGCCTCAAATTGACGACGAAGCTAAGAATTTCTGTGCAAGTCCTCCAACATGGAACCGCCAACTCTGGCTGGGTTTCTTCTATCCAAACGTCTGGTTCCCATGTTTCCCGGAAGAAGAACAGTACGGGTTCCTACGGCATGGGTTTGCGAGTCTTATTGGTATCTCGTTGTGGCCAAAAGCGTCCCTGCTTGTAGCGCAACCCCGCCTGAAACCAGGCACTCAAAATTCAGAGGGCCCGGTCCCCCGTTTTTCAACAATTTGCCTATGGGGTTGAAAGGACTTCTTTCTCACTTCATGCCAATAAATTCCTTTTTGATAGAACCATGACTACAGTCCACATACCCTCCCACCAATCAACATGGAACCTGACCGGGGAACACTTTAAAGGAAAATTGTCTTCCAGGACCCGTGTGATTTACGGCTATTTCAACAGAGTGGCCGACCGGTGTAATTTACGGTGTAATTTACGGTGTAATTTACGCGTACAACTGGTTTTTTGCAAGATGGGAAACAAGCAAATGTCATGTCTGATTGAAAGTCAACAGGAGTTCTTCTGGCCTGATGGGAATTATCTAAACCTTGATAATGGGGATCTTTGTAGAGCCAACGGGCAATGGGCTGCTCAGTGTTTTCGGCATGTGTTTGTTTGTTTCTTTGTGTGCATTGCCTTGCTTGTTTGTTTGGTTGCTTGCTTGTTTTGTTTTGTTTTGTTTTGTTTTGCTTTGTTTGTTTGTTTGTTTGTTTGTTTGTTTGCTTGTTTTTGCGTTGCTTGGGTGACTTTGCAATGATTTAGTCCGGAGGGCTGCTATGATGAAGATGCACGCAAGGGGCGTCACGCATGGATTCCTCCTGCCCCCCTGCGAATTCGGTCATTGCAGGCGGCTTGGGTTTGGCTTGGCTGATCCGAGAAGAGCTGGACCTCCCAGAGTGGCCAAAGCTGCAAACGAGAGGCGCACGGAGACTTGGATGGAAGCCGGCCTGTGTGTGCGTGTGTGTTTACCTATCCATGTGTCGATGCTGTGTGGTAGTTTCTGTAGCATACTTGGGGTCAGCATAACGCATCTTACTTGTTTGCTTTGTTTATGTATAGACTTCCGGGTTTAAGTATGTAATTATTGATTTTGTATGATGATGGGCAATTGCATGCTCCAGTGGCAGTTCAACAATAGTTGTGTCCCTCTTTTGCAGATTTTAGAACAGGCTGTGACTGGTTTATTGAGATGTACGTCACAGGTAGTCTCGTGCGCATTCTTCCGTTTCGGGCATTACTCGTTTGGGTTCAGGAAATCTCAAGATTGACCTGGATTCGGCCACCAGCCGACATCGCCTCGAGCTGCGCCCAAGAAGTGGTGGCGGGGCCCCACCGGATGGAGTGCATCGATCGCTGCCCATCGCAGCTCGTGCAGTCGCGCGTCGGGCCGGATCTGTGCAACCTGTGATGGCCTGGCACTTCGAGGAAAATATTCGATTGGATGGGAGCTGACGAGATCTTATGAGTCGGGGGTGTGGTGTTTTGGCATTGTGAGGATGTGTGTGTGTGTGTGTCGGACATCGTGATGTTTGGGTTCTTTGGAGACATTGCTCGAGCCTGTGTTATGAGTGGGCGCTTATATTGTAAGGCGTCTCTGCTGGCTATTCATCGTTAGGTGGCCAGACAACTAAAATGTCATGGAGCCAGTCCTGAGTCCCCGGCAGGGAGTCTCAGTTGCCCAGTCCGCTGTTTGGGATTGGGTTGGTTTTCATTTGCATTCAACCAAAGACAGGGTCTCTTTTCCTCGTGGGCAACCACTATGCAAGAAGTGCCACAGCGAGCCGTGGCTAGCTCAAGCTCTGGGACTGCAAAACCATGCCAAAACTCTGGGGGTCCCTATTGGGAACGTGCATGGAGTCATGAAGCTCTTTGCTATATATGATCCTAGGCTTTTCCAGGGATGCTATGGTATGTGGTTGGTTTACCAGCACGCATTTGGGAATCACTTGCGTGATGCGAAACACGCGCAACTATCATGGGATTGATCTTTCCTGGAACCTCCATCGTAGCATAAATTTCTGCCTCCCCCCTTGTTCGATACCAAAATTGACTCGACGTAGCACTTTTTGCCTCCCATTCTCTTCCGAGCGCTTTTTGACGATTCGGGCAGAAATCCCATTCGGCCGTGTTTTCTTCTTCCCCATGGTCAAGTTGCCGCCAAAACGGGCGCACAAATGTGCAAAAAAAGTGCAAAACGAGCGCAAATCGGCGCAAAAAAGCGCAAACGAGCGCAAATTCAAAAAATGCTACGAATCGCAGGTAGCAAATTGCATTTGCGCGGATATCTCGAGCACTTTCTGTTAAAACAAGCGTTTTTGTTGAGAAGAACGTGTCACGAGCAAAAATATTTCGTAGCAAAAATTAAGGTAGCAATGGAGGCTCCAGGTTGTGTTGATGGACTGGAAAGATAGCGGCAAGTTGGTTGGCCCGAAACTGGCCGATGTATCATAGATCAGCAAGCCCCCACACCCAGGGGCTTGAACACACAGCACGGAGTGTGGATATGACATGATATTTTGAGCAAACATCTTAATGAGCCATCGTGCCCTTCTGCTTCAATCAAGGGAGGCCGCAATGTCGGCGCGGGCGGTATGCCGCATTGTGAACATTTCGGATGAGGGCAAGGTGCATCCTGGCAAGCACTCCAGTTTGCTCTGTGTAGCGTCACAGGTTTCGGACTTTATCGAACAAGTTGTTAGATTTGGCAAATGAAGTCTCCTCTCAGCACTGACAGCTGGGTGAATATTTTCCATCTAGCGCGTCAAAGCTGATGGCTTGTGGTTCGACCTTACATTCGGTACTCTAGATGTTTTTCTTTTTGGAGCTTTCAAGCATCACATTAGTTTTCTCTTTGTAGGGTGATGTTTGACAGGGAACAGTAGGAGCATGTAGGGCTATGTTGTTTAAACACATGCCTTACCCAGCCACTCGCTAAGTAAACAACACTGGCCAGTTCAACTGTTTGCAGCTGGTTGGGGGTGGAGAGTCGAATTGTGAAGCATTTGGTACACTACTTATTGCTTGAACATCTTTGGTAAATCCGCACAAGACTAGTGGAAAAAAGCAGGCTGCAAGCCCAGAGAGAGGTGCGTTCCTTTACTGGTCCAATCGAAACCGCTCGATCTAGCCTTTGACCTCTCAATTGTTGTCTTTGTTCAGGCTGATCGCCAAATATGATAAACATTTAGCTGTTGAAGCAGTGTGGTCCGAGCCATTCCGGCTTCAAAATGAGCTTTCATTTTGCTGGGAGACTGGCGAGAATGCTGATCAAGGATTTCCTCATGGCTGTTCATTAGTTTCAGGTTTTGGAACCATCGCACTCATGTTAGGAGCTTTATGGACACTAAGACCCTAAAGTTCACCCCTCGTTCCAAGAATGGCCTTGGGACCCAATTTGAATTAAAAAAGGAAACCAAAAGCTTTTAAGGCAAGGAAAAGAGACACATCGCAATCCTCCGAGCCCTCCAAGCTGGGATGCAACTGATCCATTCACCCATGTGGCAAGGCAGCCTCCACTTTGAGCCCAAAACCTGTTTTCAAGACTCCGATGCACGTAGTTCCTCATGGCTGGAAAGGGTTTGCAGGCCGGTCTTTGCCATTTGCGGCCTCCCAGGCGAAACACAAGCCAAACATCGCAGTCCTCCGAGCACTCCAAACGCGCGAGCCCTTCTACGGGGTACTTAGACCCCTTTTTGCCCCCGAAAAGCCATCCTCATGAAGCACCAAAAAACCCGAGAAAGGCGAAAATAAAACGCGCGAGTTCTCCGCTCGACGGTTCCCAAGTCGAGGCTGGCGCCGGGGCACCACCTCTGCGAGTCCGCGCGCCTCAGCATCGAGGGCCTCGGTCGGAGCTTCGTGGCGGCCAAGGCCCGGGGCCTGTGGTCAGTGGCCGGCCGTGGCCGGCCTGGCCTGGGGCCAGTGGGGCCGCCTCAAACGACCCACAGAAAAGGGGAGTCGACTTTGGTTGGGCAAGAACCATGTTGTTTAATGGTTTTGGGATTTTGTGGGGGAATTTGGGGCAAGCTTGCCCAGTTTTAGAGGACTTTTGGGGGTTCCAGGTGCACTTTTCCGGTTGGTGAGATCCGGAGGCCACAGGTTCTTTGAGAAGGGGCGTTCCCTTTTTGAGGGTAAGGCTTTGATCGGATTTAAAAGGACACCGGCAGGTATTGAGCTCCCCCATTTTCACACACGCCCATATATGGGCTCTGGAAGGCCACCAAGCGACACAATCATGTGGGCGCATCCGAAAAGAGCCCGATTGTAATAACCCGTGCTGGTCACACGTTGATTGGTTGCTGCCTTCTTGGCCATTGTTTTGTGAGGATATAAACCCAGCAAGCCCCAGTTCCCGTTGCCTGTAAAGGAGGTTGTCAACCTGCTAGTTGCTGGGTGAAGAACTGCCCTTACAACCAGCTATTGGGGGGCCAAGGGGGCATCAACCAAGGTGTTGCTGGTTTCAAAGGGAGACTGGGCATGACTATAGTGGTGTGTAGTTGTGTTGTTTTTGGTACAACTGACAAGTTGGTTTGAGGGTCGTTCCTCAGGTGCACTTTGAGCTGACTCAGCTTCCTTTCCTTTCTCCTTGGTATGACATTGCCGGAATGACCTGAGCAGCGCCAGAAACCCTGACAATACAAAGTAGTAAAGGGGGGTGTCCTCTAGAATCCCCGCGAAAGCCAAAACGCAGGCCGCGAAAGCTTGCGAAAGCTTATCGCGAAAGTAACCAAAGAAGGTCCCGCCGCGAAAGACCCGCGAAAGCCTGCATGCTGTGTGACGCTCCGCCGCGAAAGCGTTGCGGAAGCAATTCTAAATAAACCAAAGCCCGCGAAAGCAAAACATGGTCGCGAAAGCATCGCGAAAGGGTCCGCAAAAGCAAGTTTATAGGACCGCTTTTTACACAAGAGTATTTGGCACGGCTCACCTGAATCAACCACACATTTCCCAAAGCTTCCACTCCAGAATTGGAAAATCTAGTTTCGTTCATATTTCGGCAAAGCTGCAGAAAACGGGCCAGGCACGTCTTCTTGGCTTTGAGACCTCCACCAAACACCCGCGTCGCCGGCCCCCGCGCCGCGGCAACCGCCGCGCCGCCGCGCCGCGCGAGGTCACGAGGAAGAGCTTCGAGCTCCGCGAGGTCCAGCGGGTGGCGCTCCAAAGCTTCGACGCCCAAAGCGGCGTGCTGCGCACCGCGGCCCCTCGGATCGCTTTCGGCTCGCTGACGAGGTCCTGCGCGAGGTCCGGCGCGCGCGCGCGATTTTGTGGGACGCGTCGCTTTTCTGTTTTGGGCGTGGCGAGGTCCGGGGGTGGTGGGAGCACGCTGTGTTTCATCTGATTGAAAGGGAAGTGGTGGTTGGTGTTTTTTCTTTGTGGTTTGATTCCACTTACTGTCTTCGTCATCTCCTAATTACTGTGTGTTTCACTTGCTCGTTTCTTTCGTTCCGTCGAATTATTTTGGCAAACATGGTATTTATTATAGACTCCCAAAGCAAAGGACTTCATATTGAATGGGCGTGTCTTTTTACAGGTGTTCTTTGTTCCCCACTTTGAGGCGAACCTAAATGGGCCACTAGTCAGTTAAATTCATGTTGTCAACTCAAGCACGAAGGTAAACATTTTCCAAACAACGGCTCGGACGCTCTGCAGAAGTGGTGCCATGGTCAAGTACCGGTCTGCTTGGTTGCGAATGGGCATCCCCCTTATATAAGCAATTAGATCATCACAATAATTCCTATTGAGGAACCCTGACCGACATGAGGTTCGGGCAAAACATTGCGTAGTCTATAGTCAATTTGAGAGGGAGACAGCGGGGGTGTATTAACCTTCCACAAACAGGGTACACAGCATTGATATACATGGATATGGGACCATCAGGGGACCGCACTTTTTAGCCTATGTTTCCATTTACCAGGGTTCCATTCTGGGTACCTATTCTTGACTCACGGCCATTTGAGGCACCACGCGTTTTGACCGCGGCTGACAGTTGGTGTGGACAGTTTTATCATGGCTTCTTCACGTCGGATGTCGTCTGAGGTGCCACACCGGCTGTCGAAGAATGACGACATCAGCTTGCTGGGCATGAGCCACCGTGGAGAGATCTACGATGTGTCCTACAGCATGTCCTTCAACTTGAACATTCTGGATGAGAGCGCCTGGCCTACTGCTTATTTCAGCTAAATTTCCGCGACCGCCCTGAACCCCAAAACCAGGGGAAGCTGGGGAAAGCCAAAAAAGAAAGGGTATTTTTCTGTATTACTTTATGGGGTGTGTGGTCTTTGTGAAGGGACCCACAAACGAGTGGTTCTCAACAAAAGCTCGTACCCATATATTACATGTCAATGTATGCTTATCCAGTTGTCCCTTAGGGGGGTCGGCCTTGAGGTAGATCCCTGAAGTGACCTCATTGGAGCTGCGCTGTCCCCGAGCCTTGATTTCCCCCAGTTCACAGGGTAGTTCCCCGGATGTCCTGAGTCGTGGTCACTGGGCAAGAGAGTCACTTCGATTTCAGGCGCATTCCTGCAGGATGATGCATGTTTGCCTGGCTTGTCAAGCAAAGCGACATCTTTCAAGCGGACTGGGGCCAACCCAAGCGCCAGTTGTGCTGACGTCTTCGGCTCAACCCGAGGAACCATATGCCTCGATGCCGGGCGGGAGGGCTATACACCGCCCCACACTCTGAAGCACATCGCCGAGCTTGAAGACCATGTGCTTACAGGCCCGGCAACTCTTATTCCAAAGCCCAGAAAAGAAGAGTAGATGGCATGTATTTGGGTGGAGTTGGGAGGTTTGCATACTTCTCCGTCGTGTGTTTTCTCAGGAACCCTGGGACGAGTCCTTTTGAAGGGGCCGAGTGTGTAGACTTTGCTTTCCAGAAGCTTTGGTGGATGCGAGCGGCATGGCTACCGTGTACTCCAGCAAACGCCCACTTTTCCTATTTGTCCCTGGCCAGAAGAGGCAGAACTACCCTGACACCAAGAACATGGTGGCCTGGATGGATTTCCGATGAGGGGCAGGGCTGCAACTTCACTACCCCTTGGTGAAACCTTGTCCCACGAAGTTGCAATAGGCCTGTTTTGTTGGTCCCTTATTGCGGTTGTTGATTGAATTAGTGCAATGGACGATACACATTCCGTTTGTCTTCTATATCCCAAGTACTGTGCCGTACCCTGATGAACATTGGAGCTTAGTGGTAAATCCGCAGGTAGATTGTGCAACCACCCCCAAAGCAATTACCCCACTCACCCTTGAACATCACCCAACATGCCTAGCTTTTCCCATGCAAATGTGCGGGGCGGGGGGGGGGGGGGTCTGGGGCATTCTGTCAGGAGGAGTCTACGGGTGTACGCGGATATTTGAGTGGCTAAGCCGATGGCCTAGGTGGGGCCTAGGTGGAGCTCGAGCCATTGCTTCGCCGCGCGCGTCTGTGCGTCCGTGCGCGAGGCGGCGTCTTGGTGCACCGCAGCCCCAAGCCGGTGGACCTCTCGCAGCGAGGCCAAGTAGCCCGCCTGCTATGGGCAGAAGAGGCCGGGGGAGAGGCGGGGAGGCGGGGGGAACCCGATACCACACCCCAAGATACGCGCCGGAGTCTTGGCATGTTGCACCTGGTTGTGCCTCAAGTTACTTGAATTCATGCCAGTCTAGTTTTGCCGATTCAGTCATTTGTTGCTTGCATGATGAGTAATTAGGGATGCGATTCAATAGGACGCTTTGAATTTGAATTGCTAACTTGAAGCAAGTGTTGTATGAGTGTGGTGAGTTTACAGGGTAGTTGAAAGTGCGGGGGGCTTCTCAAATTAGGTGTGGGGGTTTCCGTTCAAGCCGCCATTTAGGGGTAATCTCAGGATGTCACCCAAATGGACCCGCAGCGCCTCAGCAGGGCCCGTTTTGCGGTCTCGTCGAAGGGTGCAGCTTGTCCACTCGTCGAAACCGGCATTCAGGAGGGCGGCCGGGCGCAAGCGACGGCGCGCTGGGTTCAGAGTTTGAGAGTGGTGGGCTCGAAATGGCGGCTGCACCGCTTCAGGCAAGGCGAGAGAGGAGTTCGTTGGTTGACCGGTCGCGACTGGTAGGTTGGCGGGCAAATTACTCGGCAACATGTTTTCCCAATGGAAAACCACTGGTTACGGGAGGGAGGCAAGAGTTCATTGCCCACCATGAACTCACGACACTCTTTGCACTTCTTCTCTTGGTGTAATCCGTGGTAAAACCTGGTGCCCTCCCTCCCACTAAAGTGGCACCTGTGGGAGGGTACCTGGAAGATAAGATTCCTCTTGTGACCATTTTCCTGTCAAGTGCCATGCCGTTGGAGGGAGGCTAAATCCTGACAGTCCATAGTAAAACCTCATAGATTCCTGAGAACCCCTAGTAAAAACCTCACAAAATCCTGAGAATGCCTAGTAAAACCTCATAAAATTGAGAATGCCTAGTAAAAACCTGGCCTGAGACCAGCCACCCCCCGCCCCCTTTTTGTTCCGGCCAGGCACCTCACGCCCGCGGCGCCCAAGCCCTGGGCGCCCTGCGAGCCGGAGCCACGGCTAAAAAAAAACACATCGAGAAGAACGGAGATGGAGCCAAGGCGGTTCTTCGTAGAAACCAACAGGCACACTTGGACCGCCCAAATCGGCAGAAGTATGGACCGCCCAAATCGGCCGGAGGGTCCAGGTATGGACGACCCAGTCGCTCTCGAGCCACATGGCGTCACATTTGTTTGAGCCATATGGCTATGGCGTCAAGGCCAATGGAATGTGATCCCCTTTTGGTTGGGATCGGTGAATTCACCGCCTAATTTTAGAACCTACTTCAGTTGGGATTGGGCTGCACTCGGGGGTTACGATGCTCTCAGGCCATGTAGTGCCTTCAGGCGAGAAATGGCACAAGTCCTTCCAGTTGCTGAAATGAATATTTGTGTGCTTTCCCTTGTTGGTTCTAAAGGGAATCTATCACTACTGGACATATTTTGTATTCTTTTCCAGGGGGCCTAAGCAAATGGAAGACAAACAAAAAAGGAATGTCACAACTTTGTCAAACCAGGCATCCGGTTCAACTTAGGTTTTTTCATATCTTTTTCGTTGGTGAAATGTGGTAGTTTCCCTATTGCACCCACTAAAAGTCAGACTTTTAGCAGGGCATCCGAGGACAGCCCAGCTCATAAAGAACCAGAAGCACATAAAGATTTTTCCTTTGATTCGGGGCGTCGAATTGAATCGGGGCGTCGTTTCGAGGCAGTAACCGGGGTTTATTTCAAAGGCATTTCACAGGTGTAAGGACTGGTTCAAACTTCCAAAAACATGGACTGTTGGAGGGGGTAGTTTGGCACTCGCCCCAAGCCACACGCGGCCACCTTCACGTACCCGTTTTAAACCCTGGGAGTACCCATTTTAAACCTTAAGGGTACCTGAGTCAAACCCGGGTCTGTTGCGGGTACTCCGCCCGACGCCCGCTGCGCTACGGGGGCATCCATCGCGGTCCGGCCAGGGCCTCGGCTGGTGCTTTCCACGAGTCTCTCCATCGGAAGATTTTTTAACTTTTCAAGCCCATTGAAGGGCTAACCTTCAGAAAAAAAAACACTGAGAAGGGAAACTCGCGTTCACAACTTACGGAACTTGTGTGTTTAAAACATACGCTTCTAAACCTCACGTTTTGGCAGAACATGAGCTACCAGTAAAAAGGTTCGTACTAGGGCTACGCGTTGGAGTTGACTTGGGTGAAAGACACGAGAAACGAAGGTGGCCATGCTAGTAAGAAACATAAGTA